TAAGTATTCGAGCAGAAATGCGCACAATTCAACAGTTTTAGCATCAAATTCCGAATCAGCGGCTTTCATGTATTTATCCGTCATATTACACCATGCAATTGTGTCTATTCACTTGCCACCAATAAACTGCTTCAACTTATCACCTCACACGATAATAAGCATGAAAGACGCATACTTAAGAATAAAATTGTATGAAATAGTCCACAATTGTGTGTTCATCATAGAAGGATTAACACTTCGATGAAGTTAATAAATACAAATGTTACAGGACCACGGAAACCGAATTCGGGAAATGATGTGAAGCCGACATGCATAATCGCAGCGCTATCAATTGGTCTATTTGTTAATCGTTTTCTATTAAATTTCTCGATATGATTACTCGTTGACGTATTGTTTACATATCACTTTTATTGTTGAGTAATTCCCCGTTTTTTATGATAGACAACACCCATCACGACTGTTCACGAACGCAGCAAACAATCTTTGTGATGTTTTGAACTGTTTGATATCATATTTCAAATATTTGATAATACGCAATTTCATCGATAAACAGCAGTCCAATATTGAAAAAAGAGAGGCGCAGATGTGGAGAATAGATGTGACTTTTATGAGGTGAAAAATATTTGTGTGTCTGTTTTGTTTCTAATATGTAATTCAAATTATGTATGCGGTAATAAATATTTATCTTTTTATTACTACGCATATTTCCCTTGCAATAGAATACCCGTGAATACGCCCTACACCCATCCGCCCTACGATACTTATGGCTCTACGCAGTCTTATCAAGGGATTCAAACTGAAGCAAAATAACTCTGAAGAGGATCAAAAACCAATATGAAGATATAACGAACAAGATACGTTGTGAATGTTGGATTTTTTGGAATATGTGTTCGCGCAATCAAATTATTCAAATGTGTTCAACAGAATTTCAGTGGCGGCGCACATCTGCACACGGTATATAAGACAATATCATGCATATTTACGNTGTTCAACAGAATTTCAGTGGCGGCGCACATCTGCACACGGTATATAAGACAATATCATGCATATTTACGAGCGCAATATTACGTGATTCTACCGAACGTGATCCAACACAAATCATATCAACAAAGAAGCACTAACCAATGTCATCCTTTCGTTGCTTCTCCTCAGCGACACGTTGCATTTCGTGCAGAATGAGTTTTGTTGTGACTGATATTTTACCCTTATTATCATCTTCATCATTTTTGCCATTATTCATCATCTCTCTTGCATTCGAGTCAAACTTTTTCTGAAAATTGTCACAAGAATTGAGATTCAAATGGATTTTCTCTGATCTGTGTTCCGAAGTGAGAAATTAAAGCCGAGATCAAGATACGTATCTAGTCTGCATGGCATTAGTAGAAAGTACAAATAAATAATTACACGAAGCTCTTACTTCATAGTGATTAAACTACTCTCAGTTATAATTAACTACGGCCTATCGAAACAACCCTCACAAACACCTCATTCCGCATGTGATCAATCAGTAAAAGCATTCCACATCCTTGTTTCAAATACCTACGCATACTCCAAACACAATATCCATTCATATCAACTCTTGAAGGTCAATCAGGAAACGAGCAACTTCTTTCATTGCTAACCATAACCGCAGANCACAATATCCATTCATATCAACTCTTGAAGGTCAATCAGGAAACGAGCAACTTCTTTCATTGCTAACCATAACCGCAGATGCAGAATAACGCTTGAATTCCTACGGTCAACTTTTCACTATCAGTTCACACCCAAACACAATTCAAAAAAGACTGCTTACGGCTAGATGAGTTGTGGTGTTCATACAGAAAAAACCACTAGTTTGGTGTTTGAAGTGTTGAAAGCTAATTCTCAAGAACGGGAGACCAGATGATACGTGGACGAAATTGAGTTGTGATATGAATGAGCTAATGAATGCCTCAGACACAACGATAAATAACAGACATTCGAACAAAAATAGTCAACAATTCAGTTCTCTTACCGTGTTGCTGATGGTTCCATAACGTGGTTTTGCAGCAATCGATAACATATTACGAAATTCATCATCATCAAGACTATGCACCAACATACTTGAGAGTTGTTCAACAGGTCTTGCAACTGGCTAAAAATTCATTGCAATATTATTATGGTGACAACGGTGCACGCAGAATGATGGCGTTAACAAATCAAAAGCACGTTCGTTATAAGGCGCTATCACTAACGAATTATTTTGCTTAATAAATTCACGCTATTCTTCCTATCACATCTCACCATTTGAATTTCTTTATCGTTCCGTTTATCAGTTCTCATATCTTCCTCAACTTTCCCTCATAATCGATTTTCCTCATATTGTACATTCAGAAATTTCTTGGGAAGAGTAAAACAGATCTCGGTTCTTTTGCCGTTTCTACGCCGCGATGTTCGATAGCTGATCTTCACGAAGTTGTATACGCATAATTATGATGAGAGTCAACATCAGTTTGGTTGTGGACTGAGGCTCATATTTAGACATTCCATCGAACGGATGGATGAAACAGAACAAAATGTATGAAATAAATGAACATAAATAGGGAACGTATGGACAAGTTATGTGTAAAATAAAACGTGCCTCTTCACATACGCTACTGCTTTTCTTTTTGTTTTTGATTGTGACGTCTCCGGTTAGAGTG